TTAGGCAGAAAGCTGACAGCCCAAGTTCGAGTCCTCAGTGCCATGCAATGAGATGAATTCCTGTTACTTGCCCCAGCTCTGCCCGTCTAGCAGTTTGAAAGCATGCAAATGCAAGTAGATAAATAGGTACCACTTCAGTGGGAAGGTAACAGCATTCCATGAGCTTTTTTGCTGGCCAGATGACCACGGAAATGTATTTGGGCAATGCTGGCTCCCTCGGCTAAGAAAAGAAGACAAGCACCAACCCCTAGAGTTTGACACAACTGGACAGGGGAAATCTTTACCTTTATCTTTACATACTTTGATCTCCTGGATGCAAGGTAGAATAAAAATGTAATGTATATAAATAAATACTTCAGGGTATTTTGAATGGGCAAAGGATTCAGGAAAGAAGATGTGAGGGAGGGGGTGAGAGAGAAAGGTTTTGTATCACTTTACTACCTTTGGTACATCGTGGATGGACTTGATTAAATCTGTGACTCCCAGGACTGTACTTTACTGTTCAAAATAAAAGAACAGTGACAGATCTGAACATGCAGCTCCCTCAGCCACTTCTTTTTATGCTTTTAGCAGTCTATTGTTCTGGAGGTTTTTTGTCACCAAGAAGGAAATGGTTTTAGGCTGCAAAGGAAAGACTTAGGTTAAACTCCAGGAAGGCATTTATTACAAGAACAATAGTGAGGAAATGAAGTCAGGCCACTGGAAAGAATCTTGAGGTTGGAGGAAGAAGGTGAAATCTGATTTTATCTACTTATAGGGAGGGACAGAAGGAGGAATCTGAAGGGGAATGTCCTCAAATAACAGAAAACATAAACTTCACAGGCAGTACAATTTTCTATTGTGTTCCTACAAGCAGAAATGTGTTAATTTAAGATCTGAAAGGAGACATCTTTTACCTGGAGTATATCTTACAGAAGGACATTATTATATTAACTCTAATTTCTTTGAACATAGTTTTGCTTTAATATTTTTTTGCACATACTCCATACTCCTGGAGCAGATAAGGATCATGACTAACACACCAGGAGGCACCAGGCTAGGTAAGGGGGCAGTGTAAAATAAAAAAAACAAAGCAATGTGATTAATCTCGCTCTTCTCCTTTAGTGTTGCTGCGAAGTTGACAAGAGAGAATGTGCTATATAGCTTCTATTTTAAAATACTCAAGACTATTATTATTTTCTGCCATTATACTGTGATCCAGAGAAACCAAATCCGTTTGTTAGGCTCTTACATTTTAAGAGATCTTGCCAATCACATATTTATTTAAACTTTCATAGAACTTTGTGCCTTAAAGCTCTTCTTTGCCAATTGGCAAAGTGATCACAAATCAGGAGAGTGTGAGTTCTAGTCTCATTTTAGACATGAAATCCAGCTGGGTGACTTTGGGCCAGTTGTCACAATCAATGGATGAACACTTTGTTGGTCAAAAAAGAAAAAAAACAGACCCTGCACTTGCGAAAATGTTTATGGTTGAGCAAAGTAAAGAAACTGAGTGTAGCGAAAACACAAAGCCTAAAACAATATTAACCTTAAAGAGCTTTGATAACCAGAATTCAATGAGGGGATCAAACTCAATAGATTCAAACTCATGTCAATGTCAGAAAGCAAATCATGACCTCGTTTCAGTTTTTAATAAAGGAAAATGCCACACTACATTTTGCTGCCCCTCCAACATGCCTTTACTGAGCACCCAGAATAGGTCTGATCTTTGCTGCCATCTATACAGCTTTAACACACATTATAAGGCCACGATCTGGGGATTTCTTCAGCTGAAACTCCAGTTCTATTCAATCTCATTTGTTGATCGTGTGAAAAGCCTCTTCCTATTGGCACAATATTGTGGTTATTCCATGCAATGCTTTTTGTTGTATTTTTCATCATATCATCGAACATTTTTATGGTTCCTTATAACCATGCACTGACTTTTTGATCACTACATGGCAATAGAGAGTTGGCGTTTGAGATATCTCTTAGCTTCCCTCTATTGGTTGTTTGGATTGTGTAGAGAGGCAGACAACCAGTAAGTGTTAAAGACCTGGGCGGGAACTGTAAATTACCTTAACATGCAAGGAGTAGCAACTGGGTAAGGGAATTCCGTATCATACAGGCTACAAAAAAGGCAAATCATTTCAGTTACGTGCATGAAGTAGAGACTGGTCAATTTCGGGGTTTCACTTCTTTGTGGATTATTTAAAAGGGAGAAATTAAATGACTGCAGAAGCTGAGTTTCTGGTTTGCCTTGCAGTCAAATCAGCAGTGAAGTACAGCTGCTGTTTCTAAAGACTGGATGGAAGGAGCAATTCCACAGCAAATCTGCCATACCAAGACCAACCAACTTGCTGCCTCTGGCCACATCACTTCAAATCTCTCCCCCCTCCCATGGATCTCAGAACAGAAAGTCTTTGCCTGGAATAAGAGGAAAAGCACCAATTCTGCAATAATCCACCCAAAGGTATCTTCAGGCTACTGCAGGGGCACCATAAGAGCTGGAAAAGGTTAGCCTTTTTTTTTTTCTGTAGCACGCAAGTAAGGTAGATGTCACTTGATTGTCAGTCAAAAAATCTTGGTCAAATATCACTGACTTGATTTAACAATTTGACAGACAAGTGGCCTTTTTTTTTTACATAACACGTAATGAAACTTTGGAATTTGAGATGTAGGAAGCTTGATTGGTTGGTTGGTTTCAAAAAAAGGGTTGGACCAATTCATGAAAGTCATGAGGATCAATGGCTTGATACCAGATGGTATTGCCTCTGAAGGCCATCTTCTGTAAGACGGGGGGCATCCTTGTGTAGTTGGTTGCCCATTGTGAGAACAGGCTGCTGGACCAGATAGGCCAAGGCTCTGAACCATCAGGGCAACATTAATGTTTTTATGTTCTAATTAGTAATTTAGTAGCTTAAGTAAGCACTTATATTTATACAACGAACACAACTCTTTACTTACTTGTTCCTATTTCTGAACAAATCTAACCATTTTAATTTTATTTTTTTTTAATAATTTGTTTTTTGGGAATTTACCTAACCAACTGACAACTTAAACATCATAAGATTATAAGTTTAAGTCTGCCACTAGTTTTCACCAGTATGGAAACTAGGGAATGATGCTTCTTAAGCAAAAATCTGCTTGATAAACTGACTTTTCATAGACTGTATAAGAAACTGAAGATGGGCTGCAACTTTGAAACAATCAAGATTTATTTTCTCCTAAATTCCTATGGAGAACTTGAGAAATAAAATGCATTTTTAAAAATGAAGAGCTGTGCATCTTCTTAAAGAACCTTATCATTTGCAAGCAACTGAAAGGTTATGGATCTTCCACAAAATCATCTGGTGTTAGGCTGAAGAAGAACACACGGCTATGTAGAGTGGGACTTTGTGGCTTTCTTAATGCTGGACTAGAACCATCCTGCTCTCTGCCCAATGGCTTTGCTTCTTAGACTGAAGGGAGCCAGGTCTTCAAAGTTTTCCCTTAATATTAAACCTTAAATAACCCTTAGACAAAAAGAAACACACCAGTGGAATCTGAAGGTCAAACTTTAGAGAGATATAAGGTGGGCAGCAAGTTCACTGGAGGTTTTAAAAAAGACTGGACAACCATTTGACCAGGATGGTATAACGTCTCCTTCCTTGACCAGGATTATCTCTGAGGTCCCTTTCAGCCCTATGATTCTATGTTTATTATTGTAAAAATTGGTGGAAGGCCTTTTTCCATTTATCTTTCCATTACATGGAGGGAAGTGTGTAGTGGGGTGCCCCAGGGCTCTGTTCTGGGCCCAGTGCTCTTCAACATCTTCATCAACGATTTGGACAAGGGGATAGATGGGAAACTCATCAAATTTGCAGACGACATCAAGCTGGCAAGAATAGCCAACACTCCAGAAGACAGGTTTAAGATACAGAAGGATCTGGACAGACTTGAACACTGGGCACTATCTAACAAAATGAAATTCAATGGTGAAAAAAGCAAGGTTCTACATTTAGGCAAGAAAAACCAAATGCACAGGTATAGTATACAGGTAACTTGCTCAATAGTAGTAACTGTGAGAGGGACCTCTGAGTCCTAGTGGACAATCACTTAGATATGAGCCAACAGTGTGCTGCAGCTGCCAAAAAGGCCAACACAGTGCTAGGCTGCATTAACAGAGGGATAGAATCAAGATCACATGAAGTGTTAATACCACTTTACAATGCCTTGGTAAGGCCACACTTGGAATACTGCATCCAGTTTTGGTCACCGTGATGTAAAAAAGATGTTGAGACTCTAGAAAGAGTACAGAGAAGAGCAACAAAGATGATTAGGGAACTGGAGGCTAAAGCATATAAGTAACGGCTGCTGGAATTGGGTATGTCTAGTTTAATGAAGAGAAGGACGAGGGGGGACATGATACCAGTGTTCCAATATCTCAGGGATTGCCACAAAGAAGAGGGAATCAAGCTATTTCCAAGGTACCTGAAGGCAGGACAAGAAGCAACGGGTGAAAACTGAGCAAGGAAAGAAGCAACCTAGAACTAAGGAGAAACTTCCTGACAGTTGGAATAATTAACCAGAACAACCTGCCTCCAGAAGCGGTGAATGCTCCAACACTGGAAGTTTTTAAAGAAGAGACTGGCCAGCCATTTGTCCGAAATGATATAGGGTTTCCTGCCTGAGTAGGGGGTTGGACTACATGACCTCCAAGGTCCCTTCCAACTTTACTACTACTACTACTACTACTACTACTATCTTTGCAGATGACTTCCAAAGGAAGCTGCCCCACAAGCTCTCAACGTGACTGGAATAAGATAGAAAGCGTTTAATTGGTGTTGGAAATCAAGCAAGTGCTATTAGCTAAATCCAATCTCTCATCAGCAAATGCTCGGCAATCTAGCGGAACCATGCCACCAATAGGGGAAAGAATCGCCACGCGTCCTGCTTGCGCGATCCGCTGCTCCTTAACACCGATGCGCGGCCTGAGCAGCCAAGGCGTCTTCTCTTGGAAATCTTGATTGCTTCAGTTCTGTTTTGAGCGGGTGGGGGAGGAGTCAAATTCATCTCACGCCGAGGCTTTCCTTCAGTCGCCTCAGGAAAGATGGGTGGGATGTGTACTATTGGGCAACAAGTGGAACCCGGGAGGACTACATACACGTCAGGATGGCAGCGAAAAGACCCAACTAACTGAAGTGCAATCGTGACCACTTTTTTTTTTTTTTGTACTGTATTACCTCCCTCCTCCATGTCAGCCTCTTTCCTATTCCTACGCCTACGCCTGTTTTTTTTTTTTTTCTCCCCCTCCAAGGCAGACACTTAGCAAGGTGGCAGCGCGAACGTGAGAATGCATTGGCCCCTTTCCTAGGTCAGGAGAGAAGAGCTTCGTCCCAGATTAGTGGGGCCCGGATTTCTCGCAGCGAGAATCATCTCTCCTCCTCCTTCTCCTCCTGCGGCAGAAAGTTCCCCTCCCTTTCCTTCCTGGAAAAAAAAAAGGGAAATAAATGACCAAACATACAAAAAAAAAATCTCCATGAAATCTCGCCTTTAGGAGAAGGCAACCGGGGCACTTCCTGGGCGGAGGGAATACCCCTCCCGCGTGCAGCTCCGTCTTCTTTTCCCTCGTAGGCAGTAGGAGTTGGGGCATGAGCCCCCTCGCCGGGCACGTTTGGCGATGGATTCCCACACCGCCAAATACCTGGGCTGCTTTTTCTGGCCGCTGGTCGTCTGTCTGCCGCTGGCCCAAGGTAAGAAGAAAGTCCCGGGCTGATTGAAACGCGCTCCAACCTTAGCTTCTGCGGGGTACTGTGTAGGATATGTGCTGGGCGAATGGGCGCTAGCTCGCCGTACTGTACCAGGATTAGCGGCTGGAGGGCTTCAGAGCCACGACGGGTTTGTGGACGGTTTTAAACCCGACTCCCTCGAAAGTAAGCCCCGCTGATTTCACGTGACGTTTCCAAAACTCTTCATAAAAACCGGGCTGACCACTTTCTTTTGGATATGTGCCTGGGGGGTCTTTGCTTTGGAACGTACTTTTCAAGGAAATGTGGTTTGAGAGTTTTGCTGCTCTTCAGGTTTTTGTTGAATGTGCCCCTCGGGTTTGTGAAAGGTCGGGGTGGTGGAACGGGATGGCTAACTTACCTGTCCTCAGACCGATGCTCTCGACTTTATAACCCTTATTATCTACGGCTAGTTGGCTGTTCTGGAAACGTGGGTCCTGGGTAAAGCTATACAGTAAAAACAAATAAATGCAAACACCAGGATAAAATTAAACTAAAAACGTTTAATAACATGCTGAGCTTTCGTCGGTCAGCACTACCGACATCATCAGAGCTTAGGAATAGGTCGATGGGAATCTCTCTTTATAATACTAGCCGGTTTTGCGCATGGCTCCTGGACCTAGACATCGGTCCATCCTAAACAATTAGGATAACAATTTTAGACATCAATAATAAACTTGTCTTAGATAATGACATTTTTTTCTTATTTTTCAACTGTTTTAGGAGCTGAAAAGGAGTTAGGAATGTAATGTGTTCAGATAACGTTAATTAATGCACTGAGTCCCAGCTGCAAAGATATGACAAACTTTCTGTGGCATTTAGTTTCATTTTAAATTAGAACCAGAAATGCCCATATCTTTTCTTACACTGAAGTATGTTTTTTTCCAGCATATCTGAGCATCAGTGAGAAGTTGAAATTCCCAAACATGATTTTTCTTTGAATTATGTTGTGTAAAACATGTGTTATGTTTTACATCTTATAGACTGAAATTTTGCACATTAACTCTAGCTTATTTAAGCATTATATATTTCAGTGTTATCACCCTGCAGTTAACTTTTCCCATGAAATCAATGGGAATGGAACTTTTATGGACTACCCATCACAATGATCATTAATTTATTATCATGTATATGCTCCTTAGTCCAGCTAGATTCCAAATGAATTAAAGCTATCAGTAGGATTGCAACCTAATGTATGTTTTGATTTGTAGATATTTTGACAAAGCTGACAAAAATGGAAGCATGTTCAATTCTGTTATAGATCTTGCAAAAAATCACATGGGAATACAAGGTAAAATCATAGAATCCTGCAGTCATGGCACCCAGTCTATCATGTCAGATCATATCATGTTATCCTAGGTCTTTAAAGGTCTCATCCTTTGAATCAATTATATGTCCTATATATTAATGTTAGTTGACATTCTAGTTTTAGCTATAGCTTACAATCACACAGTAAGATATGCTGTAGCAATATCAAATAGCTAAATCTTCTTTAATTTTTTTCCCAAAGTCCCATTGAGTGCAACAAGATTCAAGGTCAATTAAGATTATATATTACTTTATCCTCTGAAGTTCATTGAGGCAAGTTCATTGGGACAGATGCAGGATTGCTTCTCTCACCCTGTTTTGAGTGAACTAAATTGTTTTAGGCATTATACTCTATTATTGTGGCAATATAATTAACTTTTAATTCTTATGCTTATTTTTTGCTTTTCTCAATTACTTAATATAAAACTGAGGAATGTTGGATTTATTTAACATTGATGTTGTGGATTAAATTGAAAGCAAAATCATTTTGGGGTTAGTAATGCTTTTTCTTTTATCGTTTTTGAACAAATGTGAGCATCTGAAACCCACAGAGTATTATTTCCATATTGTAGCTTCTACTGAAAGCATATAAACAAGAATTGTGACTGAGATTCATCCCATAAGGAATATTTAATGCAACTTTAAATGGTAGATTCATGTTCAAAGCTGAAAAGTTTATACTCTGTTATACAATTCTAATAGGAAGACTTGAAACAGACTGTAGCATTATGAAGTGCAATTGGTCAAAATCTATGCCATTCAATATCATTTCCTCCTCCCTCCCTCCCTCTCTCCCTCCCATTGTTTCTCCCAACAGTTGTACTGTACTAGTTGATCTGGCTCCATAAGAAAGTGTATTCACATCCAAATTTCAAAAAATACAAAGTGACTACAGGTTTTTAAATTATGTCTACATATTTCAGCGAAACACTGTATTGCTAAGGCTGAATAGGCACTGTCCTAGGGTGCCAAATTTTAGGGGTATCAAAAAAAAACCCTCTGAAAAACACAATAAAAAAAGCAAAAAGCAGTAACTGTGCATTCTGTGAACTTGCATGCCCATTCACCAGGAAATAAAATTTTGCAGAATTGTTGCCATATGACAACAATGAGCTGATGTAATTAAAATTATTTTCTTAGAGTGAAAATGTCTTAGAAAAGAAAAAAAAAGTCATCTAGGGCTGAAAATCGTCACTGTAAAGCTCAACAACGTGAAAAAAGAAAGAAACAATGGCATTTTTTAAAACATTCCTAACAAAATCAAAAGATGAGCCAACCATACAGGGCACCAGAATACGACTTTGGCTAAAGTCCAAGAATGTCTAGTGTATTGCTAATATATTTGTCATTAAGTTTACTAATCTAAAGTCATTACAGACAAGTTTTTAAGAATTTCTAAAATGTAACATAGCAATTCCTTTTTTTAGGCACTGATTGCAAACCTGGTTGTCATCCAGTGAATGGATTTTGTGAGGTTTCCAATGAATGCAGGTAAGTTAATTGACAGCATTTTGCCAGAAGAAAAAAAACAAGGGACACATATTATTTTAATTAAGCACTATTGCTGCTTTATATCTATGGGGATTCTCAGTCATCTAGGTCATAGTTATTCCGAACATGCTTTTTTCATGAAGCAACTGGAGTTTCTTGTTTTTCTTTGAAGATGTTTCACTTCTCTTCCAAGAAGCTTCTTCAGCTCTGAGTGGATGGTGGGAATGGACTCCTTGCAGACAGCTGTTCATTTGCATTCTTTTAACTACTTTTAAAAACTACTATTCTTTTAATGCTACCTGGAGGCTTATCTGTGTCCTCAGGGTCACCTGAGTGGTGCAAATGTATTTCAGACAAGTGGTTGTCCAGTCTCTTCTTAAAAACCTCCAGTGATGAAGCACCCACAATTTCTGATGGCAAGCTGTTCCACTGGTTAATTGTTCTCACTGTTAGGAAGTGTCTCCTTAATTCCAGGTTGTTTCTCTCCTTGATCATTTTCCATCCATTGTTTCTTGTCCTGCCCTCTGGTGCTTTGGAAAATAAATTGACCCCATCTTCTTTGTGGCAGTGGAATACTGCTATCATGTCACTCCAATCCTTCTTTTTTCTAGACTAGCCATATCCAGTTCCTGAACTGTTCTTCATATGTTTTAGTTTCTAAACCTTTAATCATTCTATTTGCTCTTCTCTGCACTTCTAAAGTCTCAACATCTTTTTTGTAATGTGGTGACCAAAACTGGATGCAATATTCCAGGTGTGTTCTTACTAAGGTTTTATAAAGCGGTACTTTAATGGACCAGTCCATTAAAAGCTTGGCTAATTTTTCTTGGCACTTTTCTCACTTTTGATGATACTTTTCTATCTTAGTGACTTAGTCTCATTCAGTTCTTTTGTGAGTCATCTATTTCTTTGAAAACTTAGCTTGTGGTGTCTTCTTTAAAGTCTTCAATCTGATATGAATTTATAACATGGTTCATTAAGTTGACATTTTTCTGAGTTACATTTCTGCTTTTTGTCTTGCTGTGAGTAAATTTCCCACACTCCTTTTTTCAAACATGTCCATTCATACAAATAGGTGACATAAAACTACTAGCTGCTATGTTGTAGTATTATATAATAATTGGAATTTTGTGCTAGTGACAATAATGTGCTAATACATGATTCATTAATGTGATTATGCATGATTCACGTATTCTGCCATTGGTGGTGTTAGTTAGAATCATGTACATTTGATGCATTTATAAACTATTTTTCATATATATACTGAAATAATGCCCAGGATACAATGACAATGCTCGGTTCATTGACAAATCTTCCCCCTCCCCCTTCATTTATTGGGAAGCTTTAACTGAAATAGATGTGTTCAGAGCATTGGACTCTATTTTAATGTTTATTTTAAAAAGAAAATGGAAAATCATAAAACTGCTACTTGCCAGCAGATTTCAGCATCAAAATCTTGGGTAACTGTGCGAGTTGCAGAAAAGCACTGAGACTGCACATGGCCATGCAGTGTGGGTTGTCTTTGTGATGAAAAGTTTATTAATGAGGTGATTATTATGGAATTTTCACTAAGAAAACTACATCAGTATTCTGTAGTTGCTTTTAATCAGAATAAGGAATCTTATTACCCTAATTTTATCTAAAGTATATAGTATCTAGCTTCTTAATTCTATTTGCAAAAAGATCTTAGCTTGATTTGCTATCTCATATTGTGTTTTTGCTAGATGTCGACATGGTTGGCAAGGCCCCCTCTGTGATCAGTGTGTTCCTTTCTCTGGCTGTTTGCATGGGAAATGTGTCAAACCAGGCCAGTGCATGTGTGAAGAAGGATGGATTGGTAGCCACTGTGACACAGGTTTGGGGATAATTTCCTTTTCTGTTGAATGAAAATTCTGATGAAAATAGTTGGAGCTCCATCTGGTGTTGCAGATATATATATATTTTAAAATATTTATTTATTTATATTTAACATATTGCTATGCTGCAACAACTCTTGGTGTTTACATAGAAAAAAATACCATATTAAAAGATACCATATAAAACATATCTATTTTAAAAACAAACAAACAAAAACAACCCAGAATGGCACTATAATAATAAAAAAAAGATATAATGGCAGATCCTTGGTACTCTCTGGACTTGGTTATTTTCTTGCAGCGTTACTAGCAAGAAGTTGCTAGACAATATATATACCCTGCATGAAAAAGAACCTGGCTTCAGTTCTTGCTAATTTTAGTTTACTGAGGGCTGGATGAAGCGACTGGAAGAATGTCCGCAAGATCATCTCCGATTCATTTGATTTTATGAATACTGCAGAAAAGTAGTCTTTTGTTTTATGAGCTCAGAGACTTACGGACTGGACCCCTGCCCTTTGTAGCTTTTTTGACCTGTCAAATAAGAGGCTGGTAAGGTGGATTAGGAATGCCTCTATGAAGGAGAAGGTAATATCAGGTATCTTGAAGGAGAAGGTGATATATCCCCCTCTGAAGTGTCCCCCCATATCTAGCAATATAGCACAACTTATGTTTCATCTTCAAAAAGTGATGAGGTCTCAGTTGCAGAGGATCTTGGAAGAAGTGGTATATTTGAATCCTCATCTCTCCAGTTTCAGAATTTGGTGTGGGGCAAAATCTGTTTTATAGTACTTATGGGTGATCTGCAATAGGATCTAGATTAAAGAATAGCAGTTATTTTGATACTACTAGATGATCATGTTTTGGGGGACTGTGTATGAGGGCTGGAACTCAGAAATAATATTTTATTGGAGGTTATTTTCCTTCCTAATGAAGTAGTTCAAGTCAGTAATGATGAAGAAGAGAAATCAAGATCTTGGCCAGTACAATATGCAAAACTCAGGGCTTGGTCTTCTCCCTTATTTAGTATCTTAATAAAATCATTAGAAGAGATCATATATCAGTCTAGAATCAGAAATCATCAGTAGGCTGACAATTCCCAATTATACTATACATCCCTGCCCTGGGCCAAGCAGAATATGTAGTGGTTGCCCTAACCCAGTGACTGGAAGCTGTCAAACAAGTTCACACAGCAAGAGGGAATGACTGTTCACTTAAAGACCACATGGCTCCAACTTTGGCTATGGATCTCTGTGCTATCCCTAAAAGAGGAGATCTATGATCTGGGAACAAAGGGATCCATTCCTATGTTCTATGCTTTGTGGTATTACGATATAGGCTCTACTTTTCCAAATTTGTTCTGCAGTGTTACATGAAAATATGCAAGGGAAGGAATTCAAGTCGTGACACACATTTTGTCACTTGTTCTTTCTCCCACCTCCCCAAAAAATCTCTGTCTACAGATCCTTTTGGGTATATGGATTCTCCTGGAAGCTGTATACAGCAGAGATTGTGCCCAATTTTGGTTGCTGTGCTAGATGAGTCACTCATGCCCTCATTCCCTTGTGGCAGAACTATCAGCATCTTATATTGTCTTTGAAGACTATTTGGAGGAACTTTAATTGGGAGCAAATTGCTGATAGGCCAAAAAAACCGATTCAGCAAAGTAACACTGCTTTTTTGGCCACTCCACTGGGTACCTGTAAGTTTCCAAGTACAATTCAAAGTGTTGATCATTATAAAGTTTTTGATGTTTGGATACTAGTGATTTTCAGGATTGCTCACTCCAAGGGACCAGGATGATGATTCATTTAATGATTTTAACATTCTGATGTTTTGTCGTTTTATGTATATGAGCTATCCAGTCTTATTATTGAAGTGCCACAGAAATCATGACATATAAATAAGATATTTAGTTCAGATTCTGAAGAGATATTCAGAATATTTCTGGTTTTGTATATTTTCCTTAAATGTAAATAAACAAACATTAGTTATTGTGAGAGAAATATCATCACGATCATAACAAGAGTGTTTCTCTCTCTTTTTTTAACATAGTTGTTCATCCTTGTTCTTCCAAGCCTTGTTCAAATTACTCAAAGAATTGTGTCGAGACTGGAAATGGTAGATACACTTGCTTGTGCGCTCAAGGCTATATGGGAAAAAACTGTCACATGAAAAAGGGACCCTGTATTGTTAATGGGTAAATATGGATCCAGTTTGTTGATTTACACTTGACTTTGTTAACTAATACAATCTCCTTGGGTTTGACACTTTCCAGATCTATTGTCATGGCAGCTGCTGGAATTCCCATTGTTGAAAGGAATTCTCAAGATCACAGCCCCTCAGTGTCTGTCTTTTTATTTCTATGCTTGTTCTCTACCCTTCTAAAATGGAGACTGAGGGAAAATGTAACTTGTAAATGAGAAAGTAAATTCATTAGTTAGTTAAATTTGATATATTCATTTGTTTTTGGTGTGCTACTCACCAGCCCTGCTCACTTTTGACTTCAATGTCTAACTGAGAGAAAAAAACAAAAACCTGAAGAAGAAGAGTTGGCTTTTTGGCCATTAAAGGAGACTGTTTTGCTGTAAATATGTTTGTTCTCTAGCAATAAAACAAATTAATATGGTTAAGTCATTTCTTAGTTCATGAGTTAAAAAAAAGACAACAGTGAGTGTCCTTTTGATTGGGAAGTTGTGGGTAGCACCACAGCTGACTAGATAGTATGTATATTCTGTATGTTCTCATTTCTTTCCAGCAGAATTACATGTATTGGAACAAGTAATTGGGAAGTAATCCCAACAAAGATTCCAATATTTATCATAACTTTCCATATAAATAAAGAATATGTATACATTGTTTCAGAAAAATAGACTTCAAACTATTAGCTGCCATGTTTTATATGATGTTTTTAAACCTGATCTGAAAGTCTCTACTCAACTATGTTCCATAATAGCAGCTTTGGACAAGAATCATAACACTTATAATACAAACCCTAGACTTTTAAGCATGACTATGTAATTTTTTTCCCCAATTGGGATATCAATTTCTTTCTTTTTGCTTTTTTTCATAGTAAATTATAAAATGAGATAGATGAAAGGCATGAGGACACAAAGCATAAAAGTAGAGAAATACATTTAAAATATATTCTGATCTAATAGTATTACAAATATTTGTTGGATACCAGTAACTTTTCAGTCCTCAGTATTTACTCTTCACAATTCATTTTTAACATTACAAAAAGCCATAGAACAAGAATATGTCCTATCGGTTCTAGACTGATCATATCCTAGGTTTTTGAGGTAATTAAGTTCAACTATTAGTAAAGGAATAGATTTGGTTTCCAGAATCATGGTCTGAACTTTGTAGATAGATTGCTGGCATAAAATGGGATGTACCTTGCAGGAACTGATAAAAATATGTTGATCAGGGAGACTTTAAATACAAACCAATGAGTGGTAGAAATGCAGTAAGACCTCATAAAGATTTGTGCACTGTAGAAGTTGCTGAAATGTAATTTCTGAAAGCTCACAAAGAAAAATCAGAATATTGGCTCAAAAAAATTATGACTTTCATTAGTTATAAACTAATATTAAGACCATGGGAAATAAGATGAGTCTGAGCTCTTAGTATAAAAAGCAAAAATGACTTAATGAACACAGGAGACATACGATATGATAATTCGCTTGGAATGTAGCAACTGAAGGATACGATTTCTTCAAAAGGAACAAAAGCAGAGAAAAGGAAGAAGAGAACTAACTGTATTTTTAAAAGATCTGCTCAGAATAAATGAACTTTGGGTTAAAGTAAATGGGGGAACAAATAAAAGCAATACAGCTATTATCTACTCTTCCATGCCCAACCAGGAAGAAGATGTGGATGAAGCCTTTCCAAAGCAAATGGGAAAGAGCTGCCTATGATCCCATGCAGTCAAGCTGTGAACCCCTTTTCACAACAGTGAAACAGTGGCCTATGTGGGCCTAGATTAACAATTGAAATGGATTGTTTGAAATGTTTTAGTAAAACACTCCAGGGGTGGTGTTTTGCTTCAAGCTTAAAACATTTCATTTTATACATGCCAGGTTTTTTTTAAAAAAAAAGGGGGGGGGAGGAGGAGAAGAGATAAATGTGATAGAGAACTGCTACTGGTATGAATTATAAACTATCACCTTTTGTTCATGTATTTTCATTTCCTCTTCTTTGGAATTGCAGCTCACCTTGTCAAAATGGAGGAAGTTGTTTGGACAATGATGGGTTTGCACCTTACGCATCTTGCATGTGCTCTCCAGGATTTACTGGACAGTTTTGTGAACGTGATATTGATGACTGTGAACCAAACCCATGTGAAAATGGAGGCACATGCACAGATATTGGAAAGAGTTTCCACTGCTCTTGTCCTATTGGCTATGAAGGTGTGTTGTGCAGTAACCGCATCCCAGCTTGTGATAGTAGCCCTTGTGAAAATGGTGGGACATGTCATGGACACCGTGGCAGAGGCTTCATGTGTATTTGCAAACCATACTTTGTTGGGGCCACCTGTAGTTTTTCCACTAGAAACACAAGTGTGTATGTGGTGGCTAAACAGAGACGGAATCAGAATCACCACCTGCATTTAAGAGGACACCGTAAACCAGCTCAGCAGCAAGAGAAGGAAATACTGACCATAAAAGAGACAATTGAAAATAGGCAGTCCTTGCTCACTAAGAGTCAGGTGATCTGCTTCATGATCCTAAGCTTTCTTACATGTCTTGTTGTTTTGGGTACAACTGGGATTATATTTTTCTCTAAATTTGAAGTATGGCTAGCCAATGCCAGATATAGCCATTTACTGCGCAAGGAGAGAGATTTCTTTCTAAAAGCAAATGATGATGAAAATGTTTCTGTGAATATAATATTTCCTGAGAAGATTAATCAAGATAATGAATAGTCAGTGTACCTAAATTCTTTTATTTAGCAAGGACACCTAAAGCTTCATTTGTGTCAGGGAGATAGATGCCTTTTTATTTTTATTTGTGACACAAATTCTGGCTTTGGAACCAGTTGACAAAGAAGAAAGATGCTCTGTTTTTGCCAGATAAATACTCATTTCCCAAACATGTTTTCTAATTAAATTATTTTGTGAACCAGAGTTGCATAAACTATTGGGGACTGAAGGCTACGTTTGAGCCCTTGAGTGGAAAGCTAGGAATGCAAAACAGAAGTAGCAGAGCCTGGCCAATTCTTTTTAAAAAATTAAGTTTTAGTTTACTTAGTTAATTAACTATAATATGATTACTCCTCATGCATTTCATATTTTTTCCATTCTCTAACATTTTAAATTCAGCAGCAGCTTGTTTAGGGGCTGTGAAGATCATACCAGGGCTTTGAGGGAAGGGATATTACATGCCAAAGTTTACAGATCTATGACACTTAATTTGGGTTGTAATCCTATATTATATACCTGGAAGTAAGTTCCAACATACTTTGTGGGGTTTGCTTCTGAACAGGCACATGCGCCACTGAATTATTGTTATTGTAAATAAAAAGTCAATACAATATTCTTAATTAAGATAGCTATTGTCATATTATGTTTGACAACTGTGATATTTCTAAATTAATTTCTAATGCTTATTTTGAATAAATAGATATTAAGGGCTACACTGATCGAACTGTGGGAGCTATTGTTTTCTTTTGATAATGCTAATTTATACATTTTTTCTCAATTTGGGCCAAATATTTTCCAGTGAGAAAATAATGTCCATATCCTCAGCCACATGGCTAGAAGCATTTGAAAAGCCCTGATAGATCAATACAATGTTTCTCAACCCTGGCAATTCTAAAGTGGATTGCCAGAATTCCCCAGTCAGCCTGGTTGGCTGAGAAATTCTGGGAGTTGAAGTTCACACATCTTTTTTTTTTTTTTTGTAAAAAAATTTTTATTTTTTATTTTCACTTTTACATTACATTCATAAAGAATACTTCAGATAAAGAGTAAAATAAATTTATACACACAACTTTTGGTATTGCTCACCCATTTCCCCCCAAACCGCATCCACCCTCTAACCTCTTCTCTCACTTCCCTCTTTCTCTCTTCTTCCTCACTCTCCCCCTCTCCTCCTTCTCCTCAACCTTCCTACTTACTTCTCCCCTTCCTCCTATCTTCTCACTCCGGATGCAGTCCAGGGGAAATGCCTGAGCAATTCCTCTCTCCAAATTAAAACATCAATATCATATACAATAAAACTATTTCTACTTATCTGAGCTATTTAACCTCCAACCCATCCTCCCCCCACCCCCCCTCCTCCCTCCCCCCTCCCCCTACCCCGACTTCCCAGAGCCAAGTACAGGTTATACAAACATATTAAACATAATCTATTTAAATTTACTAATTATACAATAACCAAAATCATATTAACCCTTAACTCTCTTCAAACTTTAACATAATTTTATAAACAAATCCATTACTCATAAAATAAATGAAACTTTGTAGTTCCATATTTCTTCTGAACATATTCTATCCATCTTCTCCATACAATAACATATCTTTCTTGTGAATGGTCCTTTAAATAAGCAGAAATTTTAGCCATTTCTGCTAAATTAGAAATCTTAAATACCCATTCTTCTAAAGAAGGCAGAGAGTCTTTCTTCCAATACTGACCCACCAATAATCTTGCTGCTGGAAGTTCACACATCTTAAAAGTTGCCAAGGTTGAGAAATATTGGATCAGAGCATCATTCTCTGCAATTCAACATTCTGTTGATCTCAATGGTCAAGCAGTAGCCAACCCCAGGTTAATTAGATGCTGAATTCAAAAGTAATATCTCTTCCATTATTGTTCCCTGGCAGCTAATTATTCAGTAGCATACTACTTTCCAAATGAAAAGATGGAATGTCCAGTAATGAAAAGACTACAGATATATGGTATGTTCAAAGTTATCCCACTATATTCCCTGCAATAAACCATGGCCCAGTGGGTAGTGCATGAAATTGGGTCTATGCTCAACTATATATCTGATTGGGTGATTCTAGGCCAGTGTTTCTCAACCTTGGTCACTTGAAGATGTGTGGACTTCAACCGCCAGAATTGCCCAACCAGCTGTCAAAATGTCAAAATCCTTTTTTTAAACAGAAATAAATCTGTTCTTGCCATTTGAAAGCCATTCCCATAAATTGTAATTGCACAAAAAATTGTTCTGTTGTATTTAGATTAGTTTCATATGGCCTTTTGCTATATTAATGGTCACCAATTCTGTAACACTTTATCTATCTATCTATCTATCTATCTATCTATCTATCTATCTATCTATCTATCTATCTATCTATCTATCTATCTAGCCAGCCAGCCAGCCAGCCAGCCAGCCAGCCAGCCAGCCAGCCAGCCAGCCAGCCAGCCATCAACTGTGTTTTCCCCAAAATAAGACCCGGTCTTATTTTTATTTATTTATTTTGCTTCCAAAAGAGGCACCAGGTCTTATTTTTTGGGGGGGGGGTGTCTTTTCTTCTAGCTGTTCTGTTTATGCACATGTGAAGTTCTGACCATATCTTACAAAATTTATGCTTCTTCGGTATGTTTAAAAAATAGGTTTTTAATTCTGACAGTGATGACATCCAGTTCAACAGGATGGTCTGGAGAAGTAATTACATGGAATGGGGAAAGTGCCAATGCATTGTTGCATATGTCCAAAATGTTCAACATAAAAAGATAGTATTTCAGTCTACATGTGGTTTAAAGCCCAGAATTTCACTACAGTTGTAGAGAATAAAATTGCCAACAATCCACATTGTCAAAATAAATATTCCTTAGAATATAACATTGGACAGGAATATTTTAACAATGCAGTGTAAAATTGAAGACCCTTGATTATCTTTAGCCCAACAAAAATTTGTATTCAGGTCACATGTATTAAAATGTTTATTAAATAGTACATTATTAAGTATATTATGTTGCAGAACTGTGAATTATATGAGATGTCAGTTGGCTACCTCACCTTCCTGAAATTCTTTAGACAGTATATACAGTTAAAACAAGAAATTTACATCTGTATAAGTAAGGATGATGGGCCTAAACTGCAAGCAACTACAGGATGTAAACTAGTCTCTTAGCACCCATTTGGAATCTCTAGGTGATTTCCAAAGTATGGCCAGAGTGACTGGAACCAATATTTCAGGGTGATGGTAAAACATGGCAAAACCTTGAAGCATCATTTTATTTTGTAATCCTTTATCTCAGTGATATTTGTGGGGAAGGGTCAAAACAAGAAAGATGGTGTATGTGACATCATAATGCCAGCCATCAGTGTTGCATGCACATACAAAAGAGGTGAGTCTTGTATGTTATGCTTCACCTATCATCTTGCCTAGTGTGGTCTCCCCCATACATATTTCAAAACATGTTGTCATTGATATCAAGCCTGAGCAAGCAGGGTTTCAGCCAGGATGATCTTCTATAGACCATTGCCCAGTGCTTCAACATAGGGCAGACAGATATACAAACCACTCTGACTTGAATCTATATGTGGTCTTTATTTATTTCAAGGCAGCTTTTGACAATATCTCAAGGGTAAGACTCTGAGACATTCAGAGCAGATCCTCCATAGACAAAAGACTCTTGTTCCTAATTCATAAACTATATGATAAAAATATTCTTAGAGTAATATTGGGAGGGGATCTTTCTGACTTTATTTAAACAGTAAAGATATATTTCAGCATCATTGCTCTTAATTTTTTCTACCAAAAGACAAAGACACAGGTGGACAATTGATTCCTATGAATCAGAACAGGTCAAATGTTTTAAATACTTGGGCATAGTATTGCAAGCCTCTAGGAAATTAACAGCCCAGGTAGATCCTACCTTTCTACTGCCAAAAAGAGCAAACGGGCAATAACTAAATTTTATAGACAATAGGGGACAAATTACATTCTAGCAATTTAGAGAAGAAAATGATACTTTGAGTGTCCAAGTGAAAAATAAAACCAGCACCAAAAATGTAAAATAAGTTACAGTAGAAAAGTTTTAAAACTAAAGCTGCATAGTGTAATACAATCAAACTCATTAATATCTGGGCTGTCTCTATAACATACAGAGCACAGAGTTGTTTCATTGACTGGACACAGTAGAATTAGATACTTTAAATCACAATATATACCTCTGCATGCTCAATACCTGAAAGAAATTGAAGGCAAGATGAGTAGTAACAAAACTTGGCAATGGTTTCTGAATGGATCCATCAAGAAGGTAGTGCAAGAACAAGCCCTAACAACAAATGCTAGAAAAACAAAAAACTAAAAAAAGGAAAAACTACAAATGTAAATTATGCAGAGAAAGATGATTCTATTCAATCACCAGCTATAGCAAAATTGCCCAGATTAAAAATGTAATATGATTGTATTATATGCCACAAAAGAGGGGGTCAACCTATTCTCCAAAGCACCAGAAGGCAAGACAAGAAGCAATGGATGGAAACTTATCAAGGAGACAACCAATATGGAAATAAGGAGGAAATTTCCTGATAGTAAGAACAATTAATCTTGCCTTCAGAAGTTGTGGGTACTCCCCATCACTGGAAGTTTTTAAGAAGAGATTGGACAACCATTTGTCTGGAATGATATAGGGTTTCCTACTTGAGAAGAGGTTGAACTAGAAGACCTCCAAGGTTCCTTTCAAATCTGTTATTATGTTATATGGCGAAATGATAAATTGGAATTTATGCAGAAAGAATAGATTTGATGCCCCAAAGTTCATATATGATCATAATGTTGACAAAGTACTCCAGGCTGAGAACTAACACATTATGGGATTTCCAAATTAAGAAGGAGAAACATCTTGAATACAACACACTGGACATCACAGTAGTGGAACAGAACCAATATGTTGTGTGATTTTAATCTGTTATGATTAATTTATTTTTGAAAATCCAGTTAATAGAATTAATTCATAAACCATTGTTCAATTAATTATGAATTACCATCCTGAGAAAACTTAAAATTTGTGAATAATTGATAAGAAAATGGAATGATTTTCTCTACTATAAATGTCAAGAAGCAGAACTAATTCCTGTTGGTTAATCAAAGATTTTTTTTAATTACGATATGTGAAGGCAGTAATATATTTTTCTCCCAAACAGAAAATCACATACCTAGAATGAATTGGCTAAACCCAATGTATTATACAGGATGTCATGCTGACCTATGAGTGGTAGGGTGGCCTAGTACTGTATTGAAAATGCTGGCCTCCCACTCTGAAGGTTGAGAGTTCAATCCTAGGTAGTGGCATATATTTCTCTCTTAGGACACAAAGAAAAAATATCTGCTGGGAACTCTGTGTGGCATCAGGAAGGGCATCCGACCTGTAAACATTCAGCTCCATCCAGTTGCCCCCACTCTACCCCAAATTAAGGGATTATGGATTGTAAAAAGGGAGGTGCCTTTTTTATTGCATGGCCTCCTGGCTCCTTCAGATGTAAATACATCAGTTAGCAAACATAAAAACCAATTACACAAAGTTGGGCTGAAGATATAGAGAAAAGTATTATTTTTTTCTAACATTTCAGGGTTCTGCAGCCTTGATATATTCTTTGTTAATCCTAATTTTTTTAAACTTGGTTATTAATGCCCACTAGATGGCAGAAATGAAACATGGAAAACGTTCAGTGAGCATTCTATT